TGATTCAAAACTGATTTACAACTGATTTGAAGCTCGTGATTTCAATAGTAAAGGCTCATTATTCAAAGCAATTATTGGTTTAAGTCTAAATTATCACGCGATCTGGTAGTACAATGCAGATCAAATTTGTAAACGTCACACAATTTTACTTATATGAAATGAGAATAATTAGCCCATATGAGTATTCTAAGCCACATTAATAAATCATTTTTCTAAATAAATATCAATTTATTAATGTAACAGTAACTTGTTACAATTTTATTTAGTAAATTAATTTGCTTATCTATATGAATATTAGGCTATATGCGATTGGACGATTTTCACATAAGTGTGAAATTTTGTTTGTAATTATAGTAGATCGTAATTGGATGATTTTCATGTGACTGTAAAAATTTTGTTGCCGATACTAGGATAGTTCTGCATAAACACCACACCATTGGTATTAGAGTTGGGGTTAGGATATAAAAGGATTTTTTCTTTATTTTACATATATTATATCTAATTCCACTAGACCAATTAAAATATGACTATACCCAAACCCTAACCCTAACATTAACAGTGAAATTTTTTAGTTGGTGATGCTAAGGTTCTATAAGCACTTTAGATTTGTTTATACAGAAGATCATTTTAGCATCATCCTCGACATATCTATTTACTATAGTAAAAAAATATGAATCACGTGGTGGTAACGCTTAGATTATCATATATAAATAATTTTAAATTGAATCTGAATTGAGTGTAATGGTATATGATGATCTTTGCCCCTTGGTCACATAATTATCTGCTAATTAGGTGGTGTGTAATATCATATCACGTTGCTTATCACGTTGCTTTGATGTTAATGTAACATCGACTCACGTTTATTATCTATATAACGTGAATGAAATTCTGACTTGGCATTCTGCTTTTTTGCAAGTGTAGTTCTTATTTGTGTGTTCTTACACTACTGATTTGATTATAATAATACTTTATTACTATTTCTTTTTTTTAAAAAAAAATGTCTGAGACTCCTGGAGACCGTAAGAAAAGGCTTCAATGTGAACGTAAACGACGTTATCAAGAAAATAAGAAAAGAAAGACAACTGCTGAAACTAATGGATCTAATATTTCTGTTTTTTCAACTACTAATACTAACATTTCTGTAACTCATTCTCTTAACGAACAACTTATAGATTCTGCACTTCAACAACATATTACTATAAGTAATAATCCTACCTTAAATAATGTTAACTCTTCTTTTACTACGGTTACAAGCCCTGTTTTAGTTCCAAAGGCACAAGTGTATCCTTTTGATTCAAGTAGACTAGATCGTCATAGTCTTGGAAAGATGAATCATTCATGTGCTCATTGTGGTGCTTTGAAATGGATAGATGAAAGATGCTCAAATACATCTAAACGGTTACCAGAATTTGCTACATGCTGTGCCCGAGAAAAAGTGTTACTTCTAAATATTCAAGTACCACCACCATTATTAATGTCTTATCTTACAGGAACTGACACCCGTTCACGTGAATTCCGCCAAAATATATGCGCTTATAATAGTGCTTTAGCCTTCACATCTATCGCCGCCAAAATTGATGATCGTATTACTAGAACAAGAGATCCTTATAGTTTTTGTATACATGGCGAAGTATATCATAGAATCGGGTCTCTTACTCCACATTCAACTACTAAGCCTCCTTCATTTGCCCAGCTTTATATTTTTGACGCAGAAAACGAAGCACAAAATAGGCATAATATTATGCCTTCTTTAGATGCAGTAACACTTATAGAGCTTCAGCGTATGCTTCATATTACTAACCCATATGTTCATGTTTTTCAGCAAACAGGTAGTATCTTGCTCCAAAATCCGTCTCAACATTTGACTATGATAATAAAAGACTCTAGAGCAGCTGATTCATGCCAATATAATCTCCCATGTGCTTTAGAAATTGCAGCTATCATAGTTGGAGAACCTAATAATGAAACTGAAATTTGTAATCGTGATATAATAATTCGTTCTTATGAAGGTGGATTACAACGTATAACAGAATTGCATAGAGCATATGTACCATTGCATTATGTTCTATTATTCCCTAGAAGTGAAGATAGATGGCATCTACAAATTCCTTTGCGTCACATTACAGATCTTTTGCAATCACCTATTGAAGACGATCCAAACACATATGACGAAAACGATGAATTGGATAATGAAGTTGATGTTAGAACTCGAAAATATGTTACTATGATGCAATATTACTCTTATTGTTTACAGGTAGGGAGACCAGGAGAGGGTTTAGGACTTCATCTCGCTGGACGCCTTTTTCAACAATATATAGTAGACGCCTATGCAAGTTTAGAACAAAATAGGCTTAATTTTCTAAAGCTTAACCAAAAGAGAATTCGCGCTGAACTCTATAGTGGACTGCAAGATACATTAGCTGTCCATGATGATGTTTATCAACAATTATCTATTTCGAATATGGCAAATGTAGGAAGGCGAATAGTTCTTCCTTCAACCTTTACTGGAGGACCGCGCCAAATGCAACAGCTATATCAAGATGCAATAGCAATTGTACGTAAATTTGGTAAACCAGATCTTTTTATTACCTTTACTTGCAATCCTACCTGGACAGAAATTTCTGCTGAACTTCTAAATAATCAATCAGCTTCTGATCGTCCTAATTTGACAGCAAGAGTTTTCAATATGAAATTGAAAGCTTTAATGGACGATATTTTAAAATGCCACATTTTTGGAATTGTTGTAGCATATATATATGTAGTAGAATTTCAAAAGCGTGGACTTCCACATTCCCACATTTTTTTAATACTTGATTCAGCATCTAAACCTAAAACTATAGAAGATTTTGATGCAATTGTTTCAGCGAAAATACCTGATATTAATCTGCATCCTAAAGTGTACACTGTTCGACGCACAATGATGCATGGCCCATGTGGTTTGGCTAATCCTAGCAAGATGGTAAATGCACCAAAAGATATCCACGTAATTTTTGCGATTCTACATCAATGAATGCTGATGGTTATCCTATATATCGTCGACTTAATAATGGAAGATCAGTAGATGTTAGAGGCGTACATTTAGATAATCGTTGAGTGGTGCCTCATAATCTCTATCTTGCAACAAAATATGACGCCCACATTAATATCGAGATATGTTCATCAATATTAGCTGTAAAATACCTTTTTAAATATGTTTATAAGGGCCATGATCGCGCTACAATTGAGATAAGAAATTTGCAAGAAATTCAGTCACAGGAAACTAATGAAATTAGTCTTTATATAGATGCCCGTTACCTTTCTGCATCCAAAGCTTCTTGGAGAATATTTCATTATAAACTACATCAAGAAAAACCAGATATTATGAGGTTGCAAGTTCATCTTCCCGACCAGCATATAGTCATTTTCGAAGATAATGAAGACTCCGATGAAGTAATTAGGCATGGATCAAAAATTACAACCACATTAACTGCATGGTTTAAGGCCAACCAGCAATTTCAAGAAGCCTCTGAACTTACTTATGCAGACTTTCCAACACATTGGGTATATAATAAACAACACAAAGAATGGAAACCACGACAAAAAGGAAATACTATAGGGCGAATGTATTTTGTACATCCTAGATCTGGCAAATGTTATTATCTTCGCATACTATTAACCATTGTACGTGACGCTAAATCTTTCAATGATCTTTGAATGATTAATAATATCGTTTACCCTACATTTAAAGAAGCATGTAAAGCCCTGGGTATGCTTCAGGATGACAAAGAATGGGACGCATGTTTAAAAGAAGCCAGTCAAATACAATCTGGAGCACAGCTACGTCATTTATTTGCTACTATTCTTATGTTCTGTAATCCTACTAACCCTGAATTGCTTTGGGAAAAATATATTACAGCCTTTTCTGATGATATATTAGATCAATCCAGTAATACTAATAAATATAATATAGCTTTGCTTCAATTAGAATCTATTTTACTTTGAAATGGAACGTCCCTCCAAAATTTTCCTAATATGCCTATTCCAACACCATTATCTCAAGACCTTATTCACCATAATCGTTTGATTGAAGAAGAATTACAATATAACGTTCCTTTACTTGAACGTCGATTTGCTGAAAATTTTCTTCGATTAAATATTGAACAACAAGCTATATTTAACGCTGTCATTTTTGCTATCGAATCTAACCAACCTTCTTTATTTTTTGTTGATGGTCCTGGGGGCTCTGGAAAAACGTTTCTTTATAGTGTTCTTTTGGATAAACTTAGATCTTCCTGTCGAATAGCACTTGCCGTTGCTTCTTCAGGAATTGCAGCACTTTTATTAGATGGAGGATGTACTGCTCATTCACGGTTTAAAATTCCTTTTGAATTAAATGAAAATTCAACCTGTAATATTTCACATGGAAGTGACTTAGCAGCTCTCTTACAACAAACAGATCTTATCATTTGGGACGAAGCACCTATGGCTAATCGATATGCTTTTGAGGCAGTTGATAAAACTCTCAAAGATTTAATGAAAGCATTAAATCCTTCTTTACAAGAGCAACCATTTGGGGGAAAAGTCGTGGTCTTTGGAGGTGACTTCCGCCAGATATTACCCGTTGTACCAAAAGGCGCGAGAGAAGATATTGTTGCCTCCTGTTTATTGCGATTTTATTTATGGACACATATTAAAGTCATGAAATTGACAATTAATATGCGTTTACAACAACTTGAAAATAATTTATTGACTACTGAAAACCACAACTTTGCAAATTGGCTTTTACAAGTAGGAGAAAATCGAATTGAACGAAATTCAGCTAAAAGCAACTACATCAAACTTCCTGACCACATTTATGTTTCATCCAAAAATCTGCTCGAATTAATCGATTTTATTTACCCTAACATTACTTTAAATTCCACTAACTCAAACTATTTTCTAGAACGTGGAATTCTCGCTCCAAAAAATATTGATGTTTCTTTTATCAATTCGACCATTATGACCATGTTCCCGGTGATGAAATCGATTACTTAAGCGCAGATTGTATTGATGAACCAACTGAAAATAACTTTACTAACCTTTATCCTATTGAGTTTTTGAATAGTATTAATCTAAGCGGCTTACCTCCACATAAATTAACTTTAAAAATAGGTGCACCCGTTATACTCCTTCGTAACATCAACCCTTCCCAAGGACTATGTAATGGAACCCGATTAATCTGTTGCGCTTTTGCTCCACATGTTATCGAAGTCCAAATTATTTCTGGAAAAAATGCTGGATTTCGCACTTTTCTTCCTCGCATTTCTCTCACACCTTCCAATACTAATTTTCCCTTTTTATTTAAGCGTACTCAATTTCCTATTCAACCTGCATTTGCCTTTACAATTAATAAAGCGCAAGGTCAAACATTAAATCACGTAGGAGTATATTTGCCAACACCAATATTTTCTCATGGCCAACTATATGTTGCTTGCTCGAGGACAACATCATATCGAGGGTTAAAATTTTTACTACAAGGTCAACACGCAGATGATGGATATACTCAAAATATTGTTTATCCCGAAGTTCTACAGTAAACTATTATTCGATAATTTAATTATTTATTTAATCTAATTTTAATAATTTTTATTTGTATATCTTAATTCAACTTTTATATCATTTCTATTTATTGTATATCTATTCTACCTATTTATTTTGTATATTTATTTATTTTAATAAAGCTAAACGATTTTCTAAACTTTGTTACTTATATCATTATTTTCCTTTACTATTATTCTTACTATTTATTCTCTTTGCTTTTATATTTATTCGTTAATTACTTTTCCTTTTTTTTTATACTACTATATAATAATATTAACTCATTTCCAATAACTCATACCATTTTTTTCATCGTTTCCGTCAGCGTAAGCGACAGCAAGATAGAAATTCGTTTTGATTGGATACTTGTTTTATATTGACAAATAATGTTACACGAGTTTTTTATATTATT